TTTTCTCTATTTTGGAAAATTCCTTGCATGTATCAAAATGATGAAACTTCCACGCTGTTATGCAGCCACTGTAACTCATAGACAAAATTCCCTTTTTGCAGCTATTGGGTGAGTGGAGCTAATGCAGGAAAAAAAGAAGTTTTTGTGGACAACCTGCCTGGGTATCCAGACAACATCAGATTGTCAAACACAGGCTTATACAGAGTTGGAATATCAACTACTCGCTTCCCTAGTTTCTTTTCTCCTTTTCTGGATGCTGTAGGACCATATCCATTCCTGAAGAGATTTATTGCAAAGGTAACTTTGACACAGTGTTTTATTAACTATTAGTGACACGACAATGTTAATTTTTTAAGTGTGAAAGAACTTGTTATTCTTCATTAGGAAAGGCAAGAGACTGCTTTATCCTTACCAGCATACCAAAACATACTTTGATTTTTCTGGGGCATTAAATGATTGCTTTCTTTACATATTAAAGCACAGCTGGTTTACTGTTGTGGTAATACCAAGACCCCATACATAAAGCAGAAAAACCAGTATTGACAGAAGCAGTCCAGAGTTGCAAGCTCTCAGCCTACTCTTTATAGCAACAAGATATCATCAGGGCAGGTGAAGAACCCTTGACAGAAAATATGAGGATTTTGCTATAGGAATCAAACTCTGCAACATCAGTTCTTGCCCAGCAAGAGTCACGGAGCAGGTTATGATGAACCATGCTACTTTTTCTAGGAACGGTCCTGCCTTTTCCCTAGAACTTGTACAGGAAGAACACTGAAGTGGGTGATTCAGTTGTGTTCCTCTTACTCCTGTTCTTAGAAAATGGGTGGCTTTTGGCAGGTGGAATAAAGCTGAAAACTTCCACACCTTCTTGAGCAGGCAGGCACTGGCTGTACTTTAGCATTAGTGAGCAGCTACAGACACAGGCCAGTAGATATTATCAAAAGATTAAGTGACAGCTGAGTGACTGCAGCAACATCTGGAACACCATATATCAGCATTGCCTTTTCTTTCTAGTCATGGAATTTCCCCCACCCTTTGAATGTTAACATTGTGTATTTTTTTTTTTTCTTCTAAAACAGGTGACTCCTTTATCATTCTACAGCATTTTTCTTCACAAGCATGGCTTGTTCTTAGAAATTAACGACAAAGGAGACATTGTGGCAAGCTTCCATGACCCTGATGGTAGTGTCACTTGGGCTGTCAGTGATGTCTTTGAGCACAAGGGGAAGGTGTATCTAGGGAATACAGAGCTGCCTTTTCTTGTGGTGCTGCAGTAAACTTTATATAGTGTTCATAAGCTGGAGCATCAAAAGAAAGATAGCGTTGTTTCAGGCAGCCCTTGAGTATTTCTCCCTAGTTAATGGAAGACTGCTACATTACTGAAGGAGAAATGAAACAGACCCCATGGTCAAACAGAAATGAAGATACAATGCAGAAATACTTGTCTGAGAGCTTGGGAAAGCCTCAGACTTAAATAGGTTAAAGGTACCAAATCACCCTGCTCTGTAGTTCAGAAAATAGTTGTGTATATTTTTAAACAATTGCACAGAATCATCCAAGGAGTTCAGCCCTTAGGATTGAGGTGAGTAAGTAGCATGTATCTTACTGTTGCTCACAGTTCCCATTTTGGAAAAAGCCTTATGTAGGATTTTATTCTTCCTCTTTCCCAGAGGCAGAACCTACTGCTTTTCATTGTGAACAGCAGTTCCTCCATTGTCTCTTTTGTAGTTGAATAGATGGAAAAGTTTAACATCAGTTTCCAAGGAAATACAAGTCAAGTACAGCTTGTGTTTAAATTTTTTCTCTCACCTCAGTGTTTCTTCCTGGTGCAAAGCAGTCACGTGCTGTCTTGGTGGATGCTGTACAAAAGGTTCCCTGTGACCACATAGATGTTCACTAGTGGCCATTGTTAGGTAGCAGGGCAGTAAGCAGAGAACAGGCTTATAAATTAGCAAGTCAGTCTTTAGGAGCGTGACACAGCTCGATCCTGTGGAAAGGTTTAACTGAAGTTCAGTAACAGGAAGATAGGAAGTTTGATAGGCAGTTTATTTTTCTTTCCCCCAAAGTGCAGCAGTGAACAGGGTCCTGTGGAAGGGCACTTTCTAAACAAACGTTCAAAACAGCAGAAGTACGCTCACAACATGCTACAGCAAAGTATGCTCACATACAGGAGAGAGTGTAATACAAATAAAAATAATTTTAATTGAATCACAGTGAAGGACAGCTGTTTCATTACAATGAAATACTGTATTTAGCTTGTAGAATCAGTCTTAAATTTAAGTTGATTGAAAAGGTATTAACTGATTTGGGCATGTATGTGTCCCTGTTACAGCTGGCCATGTACAGGTGTGTCCTCTTGTGCTGAAGGGATGATATCCTGAATGGTGTTTTGGTTAAGATAATGTAATAAAGTTATTAACTGTATTTCTCCCTGTATAGTATCTATTTTAGCAGATCAGATCATTAAAAATTCACAGCTCTGCTTTTGATAATGATTTTTTTTTTTTAAAAATTGCCTTTTACCTAAACCCAACTCTGTACCAGTAAGGCCCTTTCATTTAACACAGATGTCTTCAGTAACAAGGTACAGATACAGCCATGGTCAAGCAGCACGTGAAACTGAATATCTGGGAAGACCATTTAGTTTTAAAATCACTTAGTTGGGAATTAGATCTGGATAATAGTCAAAGTTCCTTCATTGCATTTTTTTCAGTCATCAAGGATAAGAATTAACACTGTTCTTTCGAGGCTGTAAGAATACTCAGAATTCACTGCTTCATGGAAACAGACAAGAGGCAAGTGACAAACTCCTCTAAAAGCAACTCAAGGCAGGCAGCTGTTGGCTCCTGGTTTTCATTCAACTACATGCTTTCGCTGAACAGTTCTTAAGTCCTTATAAAAAGTGGGAGTGTAGCAGGTATTTGCCTGAACCACTATTCTGGTTAAGTAAGGCCTGACTAATTTCATTCCCCATATCAATTGCATACGACATTTACTACCTATGACAGATTTCAGGTATGGTGCGGTTTTCTGACAGCAAGCAGGGAAGTTATTGAGCCTAGTTACTTGACAGGTGGTAGTTTGGGTAAGACATCTGGGCACACATACTGAGTAATTCTCTATCAATTGTCATCAACTTTCCTATTAGTCACTAGGCAAAGAGTAAATAATTCAAAAGAAAATTTCCTTGTTATGGCTTAAGATCACTTAAGAAAAGACAGTGGTATAGTTACACATCTGTACCCATAACAATTTTTTAACATAACTCACATTACTTGCACTGAAACTTAAGTAGAAACTTGACATAGGACCTTGATTTAACTGTTGAGGGTTTAATGTGCAGCAATCAACGTATTTCACACTAGCCTGCACACAGTTACCAAAATAGAGGTTAAACAAAGAACAAGTCTAAGTTGCAAGAATTATCTGAGCAAAACACTACAGGAATGAACTTTAGGTTTAGCTCAGTGTGCAAGAAAACGCTTGAGAGCATGAAAATAACTTTGGTTTTGTTTTTAGAGACAAAACAGAGTCTGAAGGATATTGATGGGCAATAATACTAAGGCTTGAGAAACAAAAAACAGGATAAAGCCACAGTTGTAATAGAGGAAAAAAAAAAAGTCCTGAGTACTTGAAAGCATGTAAGTGGTTTGAATATCCCAAAGCCTCTGCATTTACACAGATGCTCCAGCTGAGAAGTTACCTTTCAAGCAGTTTTTTTTTTTCCCTCCAAATATTTGGTCACTCTAGAGCTTTGAAACAGTAAGTTAGATTTGAGAGAAAAGCTCTACAAAAGCCTAACCTGTAGACCACCACAGAAATTTGCAACTGTAAGCTACTGGAGGAGAACTTCTCTGCTTCAGAATTAAAAGCCAAGAAGCTTCAACTTATCTTACTGCAGCATTGCCTGTGTCCAGTTTGTGGAGCCATGCACTGGGGTGTGCACCTCCGCAGTTCTCAAAGTCACACTTTGCTGCCTACTTAATGATTACATAGTAGAAGGTTTTACGTGACAGAAGTTGAAGTCATCATGCTCTCTATTTGGGTAAAAGATCTGAAATAACTAACTGAAGTAACTAAATAGTTGTGCCAGGGTTTGTTTGACAAGGGAACAATTATCTTGCCTGATAACACAGCTGACATGCCCACAAGCAACATGAACTTCTCTTGCAAGAGAGCCACAATTTGGTGTTTCTAGAAGGTGTTTTGCCAGGGAATCTATACAGGAGTTATATGCTAATGCAAGTTTGGGTGTTTTTCATGATTTAGAAGGATACTCGAGTTTGGGTGCAAGTGATGTCTGCACTTCAGATAAGCCTAATCAGAAGGTGAAAAGACAACGTCACCCTTCCAAGGAAGCCACGTGATCACATACTGCAGCCAGAGAGCTGACATGCAGTCCTTTGGTGTGAAGGCCACTTACTGCAGGTTCTGAGTAGTTATGTCTCAACCAAAAAGCAACACTCTATGAAGCACTTAAACTGCCTAAAATAGCCCTCTCAGCCTAACTTCCAGTGAGCAATGGTTTACTTATTTTTAGCTAGTTTGCTTTCAAAATAATGTACCTTCAAGAATCTAATCAATATAAGATGTTAGACAATTCAAGACATTTGGAGGTTAAAGACAGATCAACTCTACTGTAGTGCCCTGGGTTTTTTGGTGGATTTTTTTTTTTAGCATTACTTCTGTTCATGTATTAAAACAGACTTAAGAGTTAGCTCAAAACACAGGCACGCTTATTTGTATACTTGTTAGTCTCAACACTCTTGTTTAACTCACTAGGAAGCCTATATTAAACCCTAAGAGTTTTTTCAGTAGTACACAGTAACCCATCCCAGCACTTCAAACTAGAAGGAGGCTGACATTACATTCTTGTTTGCGAGCTACCGAAGCTGTCCTACAAATTCATTGGTCTCATTTGAAGTGGCCTCATTGAAAGAGAATATTTATCATACAGATTTTAATTCTGCACAAGACACTTGCTAGTCAGATCCTACGGTTTTGACTGACGCCTTCCTACACTATTTTGGGCTAGTTTGCTATTGTCAGTAACAGCTTTGAGCTCAATACAGGAAGCCTAGAATTAAACATAGCTTTTAAGAAAGTCTGTGACACTGAATATGGGTGAGCATTACTGTGCAATAGCACCTGCCTATCTAACCTGACTCAAATACACATTTATTGATTTTTAGAACAAAATAAACTGTTCAGATTCGTAGGCAGAGGTTCACCTCTGTGCCTGTGATATGAAAAGGTACTTGAAAGACAGAGGTGGTAAATCAACTATCTGAGCAAGACAGATTAGCCGTGCCTAACGATTCAGAGTTACACTTCAGCTGTAAAACATACATATTGCACAAGGCAACCAGCTAAAGACAAGGGGTTCTCTTCCCAACAGGGTTTGAATAGCCCATTAAAAGTCTTCCAGCTGCGATCGAGAGTTAGAGACAGACCTGCTGCAGTCACTGGAGAAACTGGTCAGTGGGAGCTGATTGCAAGAGGCAGTAAGTGCCTTATAAGGACCGTGCAGAAAACCTCCGAGCCCGAACACCGTGATTGCTGAACATGAGCCGTGGGTCAAACCTGTACCTAGAGAAAGGAACAGAGTCTGTGTGAGCAACAGCCCAGTGACCAGCGCTCTAGAAACAGCTTGTTTCTGGAACAGCTCTGGTATGAGGTGACAGGAACAGTTGCTTTCTTAACAGCATGCAGCAGGGACACTCTACATATTACAACAGGTGAATTATAACAACGCACAACTAAGGAGCTGACAGTCTCCAAAGAAATAAACACTGGCTACAGCATACCAACAGCATATCGGCACATACAACGTGAAACGCTCAGGAGATGCATTCTAACAGAAAGCTTTCCTGCCTCAAATTACAAACTTTTATAGCGCAACTGTAAGGAATGGAACATTTTTAATATTAGTTATTTTAAAAACGCTTCGGTCCAAATGATTACCAACTGAGTTTTGAGGCCAGAAGTGCTATTTACTTACAACAGCTGACTAATACATACAGCTTCAGCCTGCAGGAAACATTCTTTGCTAACAGCATCTCCAGGAACAATCAGAGCAAGTATTTGGAAAATGCCTGCCTACAGAAACCTGCGGAGCTTTTCCTTCTTTGCAGGCAAACCTGAGGTCGCTTGTCTCAGGCTACTCAGCAGAGCTGTAAGCTTCAGCTATTCTAAGTCAACAGTGGCTGACAGGATTGAAGTAGTAGTATTAATACCATTGAGTTATATTTGGTAGGTTAAACTAAACTAACTTAAAAAAAATAGAACCATCAAGAAAGCATCTCTATTAAACAACAGTATGTATGTCAGTAATACTATATTCCATCATAAAGACCCTCTATAAAAGCTTAATTTTAAAAATACATAGTTATATATAAAAGTATTATAAAATAATGAATTGAATCAGTGTTTACCCGGGATCGAAGACACCTGGTGTACGGCAAGTTGCTCCTGAACAGGACTGCAGCATCATTAATCGATAGTTCATCTTTTCTAAAATTTCTTGATCAATTGTTTTAGCAATGTTATTGATCTGGTGTGGATCTGCCGTCAAGTTATACACTTCCACAAACACCTGCAGAAGAAAGTTCCTGAACTGTATTAAATCCCAAATGCTAATTAGTATTTAATCATACTATTTGGGACTAATGCTTCATGGCAGCATATAAGCTCCAATGTTATTTTTAACTACGCTGCAGCATCCCCCCACATAAGCTATATTTAGCGACACGCTAAGTGGTCAAAGACAGGACAGTGTGTAGGTAAACCTCAAGTTTTGTCATAGTACAGTATTGTTGGAAAAGTTTTTACTTCCACCTAAAGCACTCGCCTGCTACACTGCAGAGTATTTTCTAACAGGTAAATTGAACATGTCTTACAACCATAAGACCACAGCAAGAGGCCATGGCTAAGCTGGCTGTCTTTTCATTAATGGATCTCAAAATACACAATTTCATGACCATCGTATCACCATTATACGCTCATCAGCTACTTCCAGCTGCCAAACTCAGGCAGGTGTCTTGACTACATGTACAAAATATGCTGACTACAAGTATGCTATAACCCCAATACAAGAAAGCTTTTTTATGTGCACACATGATTTGAGAAGGTTTTTGTGTGCTTTGAGGTTTGCCTGGAGGATTTCACAGCAGATTACGTTTTTGGTACATTAAATCTCTAAACCATTCTGTGGGACAAACACAAGTCAAACTTATCTCAAGAATTCAGCTGAGGTTTTGTCTGTGCTAGAGTAGGAGGCCTGATTGCAGACGATTAAAATTGGCCGGGTTGTGTCTAACTGAGATAAAGACACATCTGGACAGATGCTGGTTGCAAGCTTTCTTGTAAGGTTCACTGCAAGGTTTTAAAGCCACATTGCTGCATCTTCCCAATACTGTTAGTCTTAATTTAGCTGACCCAGGTAAGCAGAATGACCCAAAAATGCCACAGCCATCCTGCTTACTGGAGAGAAAAAAGTGACATGAAGGGTATTATTAGACCAACTTTGGAGTCTACTTTTATGAAGAAAGCTGCAACCCTCATTTAACTTCACCATAAATTGTCAGAAAGTGCAAAAAGGAAGGGCAGGGTCTCCTAATTGGTTTCCTATCCAGTCTTTCTTGCTATCTTTCTGCAAAAACCACCTTGCAGGATTTACTCCCCTGGCTTCAGCTGTTCACTGTAACTACCAGACAGTGTGGTGGCAGGATAACTGGGGATCCCTGCTGTTTATTGCACATCTGCTGACAACGCAGCTTATTCGATTTGCAACCAGGTGGCCTCAAACCCAACATGCTCTCTGGAGCATCTGTGCGCAAACAGGCACAAGCAAAGATCGGCCCTGTAACACACCAAGTCTTGCGCATACAGCGGGTGCTCCACCAGTGAGATCTGAACAGTTTCTGAAGGGGAAACGTTATGTCCCTTCCACCCAAAGAACTTAGGATAAGGTTGGAGACCTTTCCAACAATTGTTACTTAAATACTGGTTTTGCCAGCAAACAAGTGAGCAATAGAAGAGAAACAATTAGCCTGGGATCCCAGTTCTTCCCCAGG